ACAGAACCCCAGATGTGATGGGCATTAGAGCAGGATCCCCCGGAGTCTGGACACTGGTGGTGGAGATAAAGACGGAGGCTTGAATGGAGCCTGAGTAATGATAGGCGGTGATGGGGAGTGGGTGGGTTGCACGAAGGCGTCTGCAAAGGAGAATGACAGATGCGAACTAAGACTAAGTGCTTCGTGTGACCTGAGACACGAACCTGAGAAGATGATTGGACAGGACCAGTGATGTCATAAGCAGGTTGACAGCGTGAACAAGTGGAAGTGACGTGAAGAACAGACTGGGAGCAGACAGACATCATAGATCTACCTCACTGAACTTATGTATAAGCTTCATAACAGTTTCAGTCCACCTTCAATGCTCCTGACTTTGCTTCCCTGGCCTCTCCTATGCTAAAAAAATTAATTCATTAAAAATATATATATTAACACTACTACTACTACTAATAATAATAATAATAATAATAAATAACAATAACAGCAGTTACTGTTAAGCTTTGCCTGGCAGTGTGCAATATATCAAATATGCCTGGAAAAAATATATACTGTATATTTCATGTATAATATATATCTTGACTCTGTATGACGTTGCTGAGAGCAGATATTCCCAATATGATCATCTTAGACCTGCAGCTGTATCAATGAGCTTGGAGCTCCATCCACTTACTGTTTAAATCGTTTGTGAAGGCAGCATCCACAAACTCGGCTTAAAGCCAAAGGATTGTATTTTGAACTCTGAGACTTCCACAGAGTCCAGCATTAACAATTTGGAATTGGAAATGAGCAAAGTGCATCACAATTCAGTTTTAATTTATTCTAAGCAAAGCTTTAATAAAATTTAATCCACATCTGAAAAACTGAACAGTGAAAGTTTTGTTCAGAACGAAGATTAATTCTTTTATGGTGTAAATACTTTTCATAGAATTTTGATATTTAATAAATATCACACGTGTCTACAATGACAACATTGCATAGGCTCAATATGATTTACTGAATGCAGTTATTTTGAATATTATTTGGATATTTGAATATTTTATGAGATGTAACAATAAGGAACACTTCCTCCAAACTATATAAAAGCATGTATCGCATTTTTATTTTTAGTAGGTGGGATTTCTTTGGTATACATA